TTGAGCCACAAAATTTGAGTTACGAGACATTTTCCTAAAATATATCCCTACTTTCAATTGTTAGATATGAAAAAAGTTATATGAATAAACCCACCACAATAAATCATAATCAATATTGCTTTGAAAATAACCAAACACCATAATAAAACGTAACCAAGTTATATATGAGAATTTACTGTCTCACTACCACAATAATCTATAATAGTCAAATGATTCGTAGAGGTTTTTGGTAGATACACCAATTATTGTACTAAATAATATACTAATTGATGATGTGACATAATTTAAGAAATTTTTGGTATTTGTAATTTGTATAATGAGAGAAGTCAATAATAATATAATAACTAGCATTGATACACTAGTTAATATACTAATTAGTACATATATCACCACCGTTCATAATTGTATCTAACATATAATATGCATCATGACTATTAACATGACCTATTGCATTCCACTAGCCATGTTTCTCCACCCACCCCACCCAGCACGAGTGAGTGAAGTCAAGTCAAGCTACTAAAAATAAAATCACTCCACTTCCATCCATCCAATTTTTTAAACCTAGACCACTTACTCTATATTTATGGATTTGAATAAAAATTTTAAAAGAAAGAGAGAAAATATATATATATATATATATATATTTCATTCATCTTTTCCTCCCTTTTTTTTTTCTTTCTTTCTTTCTTTTCTTTCTAAATTCCTATTCAAATCCATAATTCAAACACATTCTTAACTAATTTGGAATAACCAACAATGGATAGATAATTGAAGAAGCAAATCTAGATTGCACTTGAGTCATTCAACGATCTACAAATCCCATATCCCATATTGCATTTCCAAAGTTAAAGAATAGCCAAGACCCAAAACAGTTAAATCTAATACTAGCACAACCAGAAACAAGCAAGTATGAAACCCCACCACCACCCCAGCCAAGACCCTAAACAATTAAGCTAAAACCAGCATAACCACAGCCCATGTAATCAGGAGAAATTATTCAGTTCTCGGAACAAATCTAAAAAAGAAAAAAGAAATAGAGAACTGATAAAAATCTAAAAAAGAAAAAAGAAATAGAGAACTGAATAAGTTCTCTTTATGTTCTTGATTTGTCTAATAACAACTTGACTGAAACTATTCTTCCATGTTTGAGTAACTTCAGTGATTCTTTGAAAGTTCTAAATCTCAAAGGCAACAACTTTCAGGGTCCCATTCCTCACTCATACAATAGAGGAAACAAATTGAAGATGATTGACTTCAGTGATAATAAATTACAGGGGAAGGTGCCAAGATCATTGGCAAATTGTACCGAGCTTGAGATTCTTGATCTCTCAAATAATCTGTTTGACGATACATTCCCCTTGTGGTTAGGAGATCTTACAATCTTACAGGTTCTCATCTTGCGATCCAACAAATTCTATGGTGCAATAGGGAATCCCAAAATTAAGTTAGAGCTACCAAATTTGCACATCATTGACCTCTCTCATAATGGTTTTACAGGTAATTTGCCATCAAAATACTTTCAAAGTTGGAATGCAATGAAATTTCTTGATGTCGATAAGATGAAATATATGGGCACAATCATTGATGTTGGCGGGAACAATGACACCCAATGGAGTTACGACTATTCGTACACAATAAGCATTATAAACAAGGGTGTAAATACAGAATACCAGGAGATCCCGAATATCTTCACTGCCACTGATCTCTTAAGCAACAAATTTGAAGGGGTGATTCCAAAATTTATTGGAAACCTTAAGGGGCTTCAGGTGCTCAACCTTTCCAGCAATGACCTTAATGGTGGAATCCCATCATGCTTGGGGAAACCTAACAAACCTTGAATCTTTGGACCTTTCTCAAAACAAGCTCTCGGGAGAAATCCCTCAGCAACTGGTACTTCTCACTTTCCTTGAATTTTTAAATGTCTCAAATAACCATCTCACTGGACCCATTCCACATGGGAAGCAATTCAACACATTCGACAACAATTCCTACAAGGGGAATTCAGGATTGTGCGGAGACCCTTTATCAAGGAAATGTGGAAAGTTAGAGGCACCACCACCATCGAACTCGGAACAAGATAATGATTTAGTGTTCCCAAGTAAAGTTGATTGGATTTTCATATGCACGGGATATGTGAGTGGGATAGTAGTCGGGGTGGTTATTGGGCACACAATAACCACAAGGTATCACAAATGGTTCATCGAAAATTTTGGAAGGAAACAGCACAAGCTGAGAAGGGAGAAAAGGAGGGGACACGGAAATCGAAGTTGATTAGGCATTGCTTCACAAGTTATTTCCTTTGGGGTACGTTTCTAAATTTATTGATTTATTTATGTATAATGCTTTCATGATATATTTTTAGATGAATTGTGTACTCTAGCTTCTACTTATAGAATCGCATAGATCATCTTGCCTAAAATTTCCATTCCCATGTATTAAAAGCACTCTTAATTGCATAATCATGTCTCGAGTTTTCTATCTTTGAGATTCTTGACACATCATATCGTTAAGTATAGGGATCATGAAATTTTGGGTATAGAGAATCTCTAACTTTATGGTAATACTACTCTGTGTATCTTGTTTCACAAAGACAACAAACAATGTTGGATAGGTTGTCGCTATGAAAAAAAATATATATGCCATCATTTAAAACAGTACATGAATCATGTCAACATAAGATAGGATTAGAAAAACATTGTTAATATAATTCTTCTATTTTTTTAAAAACATTGTTATTTCTTTTTCTTTTTCATATTCGGAGAGAGATAAAACATATGACTTGGAGGCTTTTCTGGGACTGACTTAAGCCCTTACAAATCCCCATGCCTGCATTCAGGGGGTGGGCACTGACCTGGACAAAATTTAATAAAACCTTTTCCTTTTATTTTATTTGTATTTCCCCTATGTTTTTTATGTTACTTGTGTTGTATGAGTGAAGATTGAGGGGTTAGTCCCTTTACCCTTTTCTCCTTTTAGTGATTTTTGTGTGTGTGTGTGTGTGTAAAGAAGAATTCTTTAATTTGTTTATTCTCTACCATGTTCACGAATTTCTTTGTATGTTTTCTATAGGTGTTATTGTGAGATTGTTGAAGAAAGACAACTTCTGTGCATGTTGGAATTTCATGGAGTTGGAATGTTCTTTGTGCTATGAATAGTTTTCTTATTGTTCCAAGGCTGTGAAAGTAGAACTATTTGGACAGTATGATGCTTTTGTAATTTTAATCTGAACTTTTAGACAATGTGATGCTTTAAGTAGTAATAGTTTGAACTTCCAGCCTGAATAATTTGAATTTTTTTTTAATTTGTTTTTGGAATATTATGAATACGCTAGTCATTTAAGTTGTGCAATTTTTTTTCCCCTAATAAATATTATATGTTGTGTAATTAAAACAAAACTTTGAAGAATGTGACTTCGATAAGGATTGTCATATTACAAATAATTATACTATAACAAGATTTGTTCAAAGGTCCAAATTACAGCCCATACATATTAGTACAGTGGGCTGGTCTAGGATACGAAGTTTGTTCAGGGTTGGATTTGGGATTACCAAACTTTAGGGTTGGATTTGGGATTACCAAATTATGCTCAATACAGGGCCATATTTTACTAACTAACTCTTTCGAGTACGCAGCACAAATTTTCTCAGACCAACAACTCCCGCAGTAGACTAGAAATAATTGCCCCCACAAAAGAAACTCAAGTCACTCTCATGCTAACCACTCTTACTAACTCAAACACCAACACTGCCAACTCCCACACACCTAGTAAGGAATTCTTAAAGATGTTATATGGACATCGATCCATCTAATCCACTTCTTGGTATGAACAATAATACTCCAACACCAAACACCCCCATAATGGGTTCCAAATACGCACAAACCACTCGAATGACCAGAACACCCCACTTTTAGAAATTACAAACAAAAGCTAACTTTTCAAGCGCAAAAAGTACCGCTCGAGTGCAAAAAACACCACTCGAGCGAAGAATGCCAACTCTCTGAAGTTTTGCAGACAGAAGACCACCGTTCGAGCGCAAGAAGGGCTGCTCGAGCACAAGAAGCACCGTTCGAGTATAAAATACACTCTCCTAGTAGTTTTGCAGACCTACAAAACTACTGAGAGTTTGCAAAGACCGCTCGAGCGCAAGAAGCTATGCTCGAGCGTAGAGGCCAAAATCTGGGCAACCAAAGTTTTAAAAAACAAGCTACCAACCCGTTCCAAATGCAACTATCACAACCCAAAAGCCAAACTCAAGGAGGGAAAGAAGAAATAAAACATGAACAACAATATAAAACAACAAAACCCAAATCCAAAATATCAAATGGGTCGGGTCTAAACCAAAATTATCATATCTCCGACAAAAACCAATAACCAACATCAACCAAACTGAATATATTGACTGGTAAAACTCCACCTTCACAATAACCCAACAAGTCACAATGACTCTCAAAGTACTCATCTTGCACAACCAACTTTACCGTCCATCAATTCTAAATCAATTCCAACCAAACATATTATTTAACATAGCATACAAACCCTAATCAAAATAAGGCACTTCAACCCTTACATTCACAAGTCAAAACACAATAGTTCTTACACATTAAAATGAAGATTTCCCAATCCCACAACAACTCACATCCCAACCAACTACACTCCACAATACTAACCTCTAGGTTACCAACACCATAGTCGAAACTATACACCAACACTACCCACATCTACAAGAGCAATCCCAACTCTTCGTGTTCTAAAAACCCTAACACTACCAACACCCCTTCCATGGCTTACAAAACTTAAAACAATTCACTCAATTGGGAAACACACCCCACGCCTCTAACCACTCGAGGTCATAACTAATTTCAACACATATCAGTCCATGGACTAACAACCCACACCAAACCTACATGACGTCACTTAAATGAGTATAACAACTCCATCCAACCACCAAGCACAAAGGACTCAAAACATCACCGTCTCTTAAAGACATATTAATTGTCACGAAGGACAAACCAACACCAACTCACAACTTATGCCAATACACAATATATCACTAGAATAGCACTCACCGAGGTGCCCACTCCGAGTCCACTACTCAACCCAAAATGTTTCTATAAGAAGAGAAACACACAACTTAGGATACATAACACTAGCACCTTTCCCCAAAATACTAACATAACACAATCACATAGCAATTACTCAAACAACCCTATTGGGGCTCCAATTAATTTACATAACCATCTACCACATAACACGTAACACATAATCGCGCTAAGTCCACAAAGATAATTATCCGTTCCAGTACTCACTTAAATTTCTCATTAGAAACAAAGTTGATCAAGCGCGTTTCCAATAAGACCTCCAAGTTAGTCAACTAGACACCGAATAATATCCATGAGTGTCAACACCATGCCCATATAAAATGCAACACATATGCATGTTATCATTTAGCACACAACATATAAATGTCCTCACCGAGCATGATAAACCCATTATGGCTAACCACTTCCCGTGAGCCCAATGTTTTCAAACCCGGTTAGCTCTAATACCAAGTTGTCACACCCTGGATTTACAAGGTCTGTCCCACGTAAGTAAACCACCCAACGATAGAGGATCACTAACAACACTCATGCAGATGTATATAATATAAGCACACAGTACATGTGTCATTTCAATGTTATACATTCTTAGATACAACATCTAAGTCAAATGGATGCTCTGTAATAAAAACATACAAAGATGTTAAGATGTCCAAAGGCTTACATCATATACAAATGGTATAACACTAACAAGAATGGCATACGGCCAACAAATACATCAATGGCCCTTGGCCGACAAATAAAGGAACCACTCTACACGGTTCCAAACACAACTTCAATGTCTTAGTCCACGTCTGTAAGCATACCTGAAAAAAAATTTCAGCCACGTAGGGTGAGCATAAAGCCTAGTAGAAAATATTTCAAAAACTAAATATGCTCTACCAGTGTAAATGATCTTGAATGCAATACATAAATATATAATATGTTCAATGCATTCTCAAATCCACTTGATTTCTCAATAAAAACCCCTTTTCTTTCTATTCTTCTGAATTCAATACATTAGTTTGATATAAAATCCATTTCCACAAGTCAATCCAGGTATCTCAATACCAGCTAGCAATTTTATTGCCAATTCCAATACAAATACATCGTTAACCAATAACAAATACATTGCTAAAATCGTTTAAAATCATTTCTTTCCAAAATCAAAATTATAATAAATAAAATGGGTAAATCTCTAAAAGCAATACAATCTTTTGCGGAAATTTCGTCCACGGGAAACTGTCAAACGGGACCCATGTAAACGTAGGCTATACAAGTACTACAATTGCCATTTTACGAAAATTCCATCTGCGGGATCGGCACCCATGTATACAAGCAGTTTTTGGGACTTTCACCCTGGACACACATGCCAACTTAATTCAATGGAGTCCA